CTGCACTTAATTAACGTCGCGGAAATTAACGCTCAACAAAATTAACGCGACTTAAAATTAACGCGAATTTTAACGATTCGTGTTAATTTCATGGAGCGTTAATTTCCTATAATAAGGTAGCTAACCAAAATTAGTAGTTAAGGGACCGGTCATTATTCATCGCCTGGAGGGGTCGGAGGATTTTGGGCTAAACACGATGAAATTTAGCCGATCCCCCCTTTAAATTTTATTTTATTGAAGTGATCCCCCCTCATAACTATATATAACTTTCGTGACCCCCAGCCCCCCCCATGTCTTTGTACCCATATTCACCTTTCGACGTGTATATTTAGTGTTTTAAACGTTCATATACAGGTAGTATTTCTAACTATGATGTACTTATAGCATAATAAAGCCGTTATCGCGCAGTCTTTTTTTAAAAGTGTCTCTTGATCCGTGTCTTTTTCGAGTCTGGATCCAGACATCTGAATGCAGTTGACATACAAGCAATCTTGCTTAAAACTGCAAAGTGCTTGAAACTGCAATCAGTGCTTGAAACTGCAAAGTTACTTTTTTTAGAGTGCCAAATAGTCAGTCCGCCAAGTCCCTATCAGCAGGTCATATTTAGCGACAATTCGGCCATCTGGAAGGGCTAGGATCGGCCACTGTTCCTGTCTCCTTTTTTATTTTCATCTATAGTGTAATAGATCAGCCTTTGTAGCTTTGCTCACATTTTTATAATTTTTTTTTTGTTCGTTTTTTTGTTTGAAATGCACACATTCGCCAGTGTGACAGACTTCCGTTTTTTAAATAAAGTTGTGTTAGAACAAATTGAGATTGCAAATGCTTATCATCTCCCAGCAGAATGGGCACATTTATGTTGTATGCTTTCAAAATGGCATTGTTCAAGCAGATTTGAGTGGTCCCCCCTGTGAATCCTTCCAAAATTTTCTTTTATTCCCCCCCTTTTGGGCTCTCAGTTACGACTGATCCCCCCCTCTGTTCTCCTAAAAATCAAGTGATCCCCCCCAGGTGATAAATAATGACCGGTCCCTAACTGAAAACTGGCCAAAAAAATAGTAGTTAACTGAGAATTGGGTACACCCATTAGCACCCTCTTGACCAGAGCCATTATGCCCTTGGACTTGATTAAAAACCGGTAAAAAGAATTTTGCTTAGCAACCATTCACAGTATTTTTTAGGGAGTTATCATAACTCCAAAAATGGAGTAAAAATTTTAGAGTACGGGATTGCCCTTTTTTGGGGGTCACTTTAACTCCTGAACGTCAACTTCAAATCTGGGGTTATTTTTACTCCTGAAAAAGAGTTCTTTAATTCCTTTTTGCAGTCAAAATAACTCCCAAAATATTACTTCAAAGTAAAGAGTTAAATTGACCGCACAAGAGGAGTTATTATAACCCCTTGTAAATTACTGTGTTGATAAGCATGTTTCGAGGGGGAAGCGTTTTTTCCAATTATGGTCGTAAGTGTAAGAGAGTAAGAGAGAGAGAGAGAGAGAGTAAGAAGTTTATTGTACACTCCCCTGCGGGGCTTTTCAGTGATATAATTTGACAAAGCTATAATTCATTATCAAGTATATATAAAAATGAATACCTAAAAAAAGCCTAAGTTTCCGTTTAAATTCTTATGATACAATAAGAAGTTAAATCCTACGGAACGCTCGCGGAATCACGAAATTTATGTAACAGTATTTGCCTCAGTTTCTCTTTAAAATCCCTATGCTCTCTAAAACATATGTAAGCCACTCAATTGTAATTAAATAAGCCCTCCGAAAACCCCTTACGAAGTTACATAAGCCCAGGGGTTAAAATTGGCAGTTTATAGTATATGGAGTAGTTTTAACAGTCCTTCAATAACTGTAGCAGTCCTGAACTGTCTCGCTTGCTCTATCCTCGTCTACTGTCTCTACTCATCTTAAGTGCGCGTTGTCGACGATTGGCAAAGCCCCCTTCTAGGAGCAAATTCATGATACCCGTCTGTGCATGCGTCACGGTTAGGAACCCATCAGCTCCTGGTTAAGTCCACTTCCGAGGTTCACCTTCACTGATCGCGCACAATATACAATATTGCCTCTGCGGTCTCTAACGTCATCGTGGTTTGCTGAATTTTCTGTTCCCTGTCTAACAAATCTTTGGGTGCTGTTCACAAACATGGTAAAGAAATATCGGCGTTTGTCATTGTGTACAGTTGTTATTGGTACTCGGTTAGAGAATTTGACAATCTTGGGGCTGATGCCTGAGATGGTGAGCATCTAACGAAGAGTTGATGTCTTAAAGGTAAACTTTGTTGAAGTTATGAATTCTAATAACAGAATGATGCTTTGATACATGTTTAGACAATTCCCTAGCCACTTGTGCACAATAATACAGTTACATAGCGCGGATAATAGGCTACGGATCAAAAGCCTTGAAAGTTTTAGTTCAGGCTCACATTGTCAACTAAGTAGATAGTCTAGATACAAGTTCATGCTACGGAAAGATGTTTTGCGTACAGAGGCATGCGGAAAAAAGGAGAGCTGTTTCGGCCGTTTTACCAATGGAGCCAAACTTGACAACGACAACAATTGCGATATCTCGAAATACAAATTACTTTTAGCGGTTCAATATCGACTTCATTGGAGCAAACGTGGTCAATATGTAAAGTGACTTTTCACTTCGTTTTTACGGGCAGGATAAGGTCAATTCATGCTGAATGAATAAGGAAATAACTCATGTTTATGTACCTCATGATCATAGAAGTTCCATCAACTTCTTTTGATGGTTTTCACAGTGACGTCATCAAATTGTAAAGTCAAAATAGCGAGGTTGTACGACTTCTAATTTACACTAGGTTGAAATTAAACAAAAAGTAGATCTTTGTACAAGTTTCCATTCCCGTGGCATGTTTCATTTCGAAAATACAGCAATTTGAACTTCCGAGTTTTTACACCAAAATAGAAATCCTGTAACCATTTTAAGTATTAGAAGATATGTTTATGCGTTGTATACTAGTTCTCGAGTGAAAAGGCAGAGCTTTTATAGAAATATTCCACATGTTTTTGTGGATTTCCGGCGGCCATATTGGCACACCAAAACGGTGCACCAATATGGCGTCTCCATACAAAGCTCTACAAAGGTGGGTGAAACCGTTCGGCAAATAACTCAGAAACTTCGAGCCAAAAAGACCTCAGCCTTTGAAGAATTGTTTATATATTAGTCTTTTATGACATTTCGTTTTCTTGGCTTTTTCCACTGGACGGTTTCCAATTTATTTTTTTGTTGCGTGACAGTGAAAACGATCTATAATGAGTCGGCAGTGACAAATTCGTAGCCGTATAATTATATAGTGAAGCTCCAATACGACAAAGGTTTAAGATTATTTGTAGCCCTAGTGTAACTAAAATTTAAGTCCCTATGGTACAACTTATTTAAATAGAAATTCCTGCTCCTCCTTCCCTTTGATTTATCACAAAGTCGAATGATGCATTGTGCAGGTTTCTTTGACTTTATTCGCGACTTTGTTTATAAAAGTTCTTTTGTTAGAGAAGATGATAAAGAAAGAAACCATCATGTACCAAAAAAAACAACTGCTGTATAGTAGTTTGCGAAATAAATTAACGTAACGTCTAGATTCATTTGCATAAACAAATTATGAACAACGCATCCAACTGTTCATTTTGGCCCAACTTAACTATAGATAGAGCCCTCACCACAGGGGTAGCTACTTCCATATATGGGGTCTATAGTTATGTGCTGCTGTGAAGGGTATGGTTTTCAAGCAGTATAGTCTGGGATAGGGTATAGAAATCAGAAAGTGCATGACAGTCTCGAATAGGGTATAGGGTATTTATTTTCTAGAAAACTGATCGATTGATTGAAGATTAGTATGCGTAGCTAGCGATATTGGTAGGAATCCAAGCATAGAACTCACTCCGTTAGAACTAATTAATTCAGACAGGGACAGTATCCATAAGGCACGCGATGGATTTTTAATATCGAAAGGCAAAACACTTGAACCCTATGAGATGAACAGAAGAGATGAAATTTAAACTATAAACATATGCTTTCATATAACCTCTTAATACAAGTTTTGGTCAATTGTATTCCTCCACCAATCCCATTTTATTTTTTATTTTTGTCATGTTTTATATACTGTAACCGTTTATTCTATCCTCACTTAGCTTTTCTAGCCCCTGATGAAGACTAGTTTTGTCTTGTCGAAATATTGGGCAAATAAATTCGTAACCCTTAGCTGTCCCATAAGCCTTGCCTTCAATTATTTAAAGTGCTATTTTATTCTGCTGGTCCTGATCTACCTACGTTAAGATCCGGTTTTCCCTTGCTGCTGTCTGTCCAAGTGTTCCTTGAAAGAATTGTTCGCTAAAGTACACAACCAGACCCTCAACGAAACGCACTTTATTTGATTTAAACCGGCTTACTCGGTTTGTTTGTCAGTTACAGTAAAACCCCGCGACTAAGAACCTGGATTTTTCCAAGTTAGCCTAAACAGGTTCTTAAATAAATGCTAGTAATTAGCACACGTTTAGGCTATTTAGGTTCTTAAATACGTTCTTAGTGTCCAAAGAAAAAAATATATATTTAAGAGTATTTGGTGGTTCAGTTGACATATCTTATATTAATTTTGTCTAAGTGTGCAGTAGCTTTTCATAGATTATTAGAAAATAGGAAACTGTTTCAAATTTTAGGCTAAACAGGTTCTGAAATACACGGGGCTTAACTGGCAAATTTTAGCCTAACAGGTTCTCAGTCGCGGGGTTTTAGTGTACTCTTGAAGCATTTCTCGTAGATAATTTTTTCCCTTTTATAGCAGGACATTGTTAAGGCTATCTGGTTGTGCCGTCCCAACTCTTATGGGGTCGCCGAAAAGCATTGGACCGTGAAATAAACTGAAGAAACATGCAATTTTTAGGAAAAAGGAGGCTTATCTTGAGGTTCATCGTTAATAATTTTTTTTCTTTAATTAATTTTAGTTCCTTCACCTACTGCGTATACTAACTGGAGATGACAGCATTGCAGCCGTTTAGTGACGAGCAATTAAATTTCTTTAAGTTCTCGTCCTTAGTGTTAAATGAATTCCCCAAAGCCTTACGGCAGACCTTTAAAACCATGTGGGACAACACCTATGGACATCTTCCTGGTTTTCGGCTCTGGGATGATTCCACTGCTGTCAGAAATATGTTCGCCTCTGAAGAAGCAAAAAGTGGCAAGACGACTAAAGTTCCTGTTCTCCAGTCTTACAACGAATGGGATTGTACCAACCTGTTCCAGGCTACTATATTTGCGCCTTCTTTTGCCACAACAGTCAGTACAGGCCCCTTCGCCACACTAAGTGATTTGTACGTGAAGCCCTGTGCAGTACCTTATGGTAGTTTCCACGCATGTGTGGTCAGCTCGAGTGGAAACATGACGGAGACCATTGCACTTGCGATTGATCAGCTTCGTCTTCTTAGAAATTCGCTTTGTCACTCCAACAGTAGTGAGATGGACAAAGCGTCGTTTGACCAGCGCATGATTTACACCAGAGATGCGTTTCAAGCCCTTGGTGTCTCGACAGCACCAATTGACGCATTTGTTAGTTTGGCGGAGTCAGACTTTCCCACAAATGAAGTTCGAAAATTGGAAGCAAGAATCCGAGACGAGACTCGGGCGTACATCAAAAGTCTCGAGGACTTCAGAGAAGGTCTGGAGAGTTTAAAAAAACAAGTCGAAGTGGATAATGCCAGCAAAGACGACATTACTAGATTGGAGAAAAAGATTGATGAATTGAAAGTAGGAAGAGACGAACAAGGTAATCTATCTGACAATTCAGGTACAATTTTGAGAAATTGTTTCTGCCGAAGGCTCAGCCAGTTACGGTTTGGACAAATAGTAAGCAAATTGCAACTGCAGGACTGGTTAATTGAGCCAGTTCCATTTACAAATTAGCAAAATTAAAGCCTATTAAGTTTTCCTTTTTCATCAGAGCCTTCAGATTGTAAGGTAATTAAAAAAGGTAGCAGTCTTAGCCACGGAGAGTAAACCTTTTTCCAGTTAGGTCAAGTCTCCTGTAGCTCAGTGGCAAGAGCATCTGTTTACTTACTTGACTCCTGTTCGGAAGTTCTCAGACTTTATCTGTTGAGCGGGCTGCCAGACACTGCCTGAAGAACACCTTTCTCAAGATTTTTTTTTATGTATGTAGGCTTCCTTTATATAAAGAGATGAACAAATGACCTTGGATCGACATCATAACCAAACTCTTTTCCTGAATCATCAGGTTTAGTATAAGTATATAATTTAGGGATTTGAATTCACTGCAAGAATATCATTTGCACATTGAATGACTTATCTATATATTTATTTCTGAAGATTTTCACTGATTTCTGTTTCACTTTTGGTCTTTTCTTATCATAAAAGGTACAAGAGCATCGCTCTCAAGAGCCTACCTTCCTTCAATGGTTCCCAATTTCACTGGGCGACAGAGCGAAGTTGAAGAGATCATCGGACATGTCACTTCCAAATCCACCCGACTTGTGTCGATCTGGGGTTCACCTGGATTCGGAAAAACGTCGGTTGCAATTGCAGTGGGACACGCTCTTCAGACTCAAGGGCTTCCTGTGTACTGGCTTTCATTACGAGGACTTCAGTCAAAGGCGGGTCTGACTTCAAAGATTCTTAGCCTTCTAAAGCAACCAACCTTTGATAAACGACCGTCCGATCAGCGTCTGTCCCTTGATGATGAGATTTGCCAACTATTCAATAAAATATCAAAACAGTCTGTATTTATTCTTGATAATGCCGATGATTTGTTAGAAAGTGGTTGGCCAAAAGTGAAGGAAGAAGTCACCCAACTTCTTGAAGAAATACTCAGGCAAAACCCAAGGGTGACATGCATTGTAACCACGAGAGAGTCGCTAGAGTTTATGGACATTCATTTTCAAGGCCATCAAGGCTTGAGAGTCAGAACATTGGATAAAGCCTCTACAAAATCCTTAATTGATGAGTTACTTCCAAATGCGAGCGCTGCAGATTGTATAGAAGTCGCGCATATCTGCGGACAAGTTCCTTTGGCCATAAAATTAATGTGTTCGTTGATTTCTGAAGATAGTTCTTTACCAAGTCATTTTCTAGATGATTTCAAGGCGTCCTCTACAGAAAGTATCGTGAGCATGTTGGACATATTTGACTCCTCTTTCCAGAGACTAACTGCACAAGAACAAGAAGCACTAATTTCTTTGAGCATTCTCCCTGAAAACTTTACTACTGAGGTCGCTGCGGCCGTTTTAGGCACCAAAAATGGTTTTAAAGCCAAAAGGATGTTACAAAACCTTCGGAGGAAGTCACTGATTGATTCAGGCTCTAAAACCGGGACTTTCATGATGCACAAACTGTTGCAATCATTTTCGAAAGAGAAAGGGGACACTGAGATGAACAAGACAATTCTCAACGCAAAGGGTCGTTTGAATGCATTCTATGTCTCGTACTTTGATAAACTAAATAAGCAATTTCTCACCGGGCATTCCATGGATGCGTATATTGCTTTTTATGAGGATAAGGAGAGCATTGTTCAAAGCCTAGTAGACGGATCTTTTGACTCCAAAACAGCTGACACTGTCTTTGACATATTGGTCAAGGGGGGGTTGTTTCTTGACTCGGTTTTTTGGAGTGCGAGTGAAACGAAAACCTTTCATCACATATACGATGCCGCAATAAAAGCAGCCAATCTGCATGGAAATGAAAAATACCACAGGCAGCTACTTTCTTCTAAAGCTTTCAGTCAAGTAACCTGGGGACGAGCAGGACAGACGAATCATCTTCTCACTGAAGTGAAAGTTCTGCAAGCAGCATCGTCCCTTGTTTCTAATCAAGAAAAAGGCAAATGCTTCTGCTATTTAGGAATCTGTTACCTTACTGCAGAAGAAACGAAGAGTGGAGTCCACTGCCTACAGCAGGCGCTTTCATCACTGGATACTTGCAACGACCAAGAGTCCTTATTTCTAAAGTTTCTTATTCTTCAGATCCTCGTTTGTTATTATCAGTCCCTAAATGACTTCTACAATGCAAGTTACTAATATGACAAATCACTACATCAGTCCTCTGCAATAGGAGGATGCAAGCTGCTTATTATTCCGCCAATGAAAAGCAAATCACAAAAAACTACCAATGAAATGCAGTTTGAAAAGGACTCAAACATTTTGCTGAATCAACCTTTCGAATTCCAATTTGTCTGTCTCTTAAGTGAAGCTACAAAGTTTTTCGCTCAAACTAAAACCAAACAAAATACAAGCCACTTGGTTCTTCAAATGTTAGAGTGTGTCGAAAAAGATGTTACACCTTCAATTGGTTTGCTATATTTTCACACAGCTGTGATACAGCTGCTGTGGAATATAAATATTGAAGACCCTGAAAAACTGTTTTGGTCAAGAATAAATTATCATGAAAAAACACTCAAGCAATGGAAAGAAACATTCCCAAATAGTCACGACTTTGGCGGTTATAGTCAAATACAAATTGAAGCGCTTGTGGACTGGTACTTAAACCTGGGTATAGTTTACATCAAAAGAAGAAACTATTCAGAAGCTCTTCAGTCATGCAAGAGAGCTCTGGACACAGCAACAAGGTCCTTAGGGGAACAACATGAAAGGACTTCCGTCACCTACTGGCAACTCGGTGTAACACAACACAACATGCATGACTACAGTGCAGCTCTACAATCTCACAGCCGTGCATTAGCTATCCGTCTTAAACTGTTTGGAGAGGACCATGAAAGCACTGCTGACAGCTACAGGCAACTCGGTGTAACACAATACAACATGGATGACTACACTGCAGCTCTACAATCTCACCAGCGTGCATTAACTATACGTCTTAAACTATTTGGAGAGGACCATGAAAGCACTGCTGACAGCTACAGCCAACTCGGTGTAACACAAAGAAATATGCATGATTACAGCGCAGCTCTGCAATCTCTCCAGCGTGAATTAGCTATCCGTCTTAAACTATTTCGAGAGGACCATGAAAGCACTGCTAACAGCTACAGGCAACTCGGTGTAACACAAAGTAATATGCATGATTACAGCGCAGCTCTGCAATCTCTCCAGCGTGAGTTAGCAATCCGTCTTAAACTGTTTGGAGAGGACCATGAAAGCACTGCTGACAGCTACAGGCAACTCGGTGTAACACAATGCAACATGGATGACTACAGCGCAGCTCTCCAATCTCTCCAGCGTGCATTAACTATCCGCCTTAAACTATTTGGAGAGGACCATGAAAGTACTGCTGACAGCTACAGGCAACTCGGTGTAACACAATACAACATGGATGACTACAGCGCAGCTCTACAATCTCACCAGCGTGAATTAGCTATCCGTCTTAAACTATTTGGAGAGGACCATGAAAGCACTGCTGACAGCTACAGGCAACTCGGTGTAACACAATACAACATGCATGACTACAGTGCAGCTCTACAATCTCACAAGCGTGCATTAACTATTCGTCTGAAACTATTTGGAGAGGACCATGAAAGCACTGCTGACAGTTACAGGCAACTCGGTGTAACACAATACAAGATGGATGACTACAGCGCAGCTCTACAATCTCACCAGCGTGAATTAGCTATCCATCTTAAAGTATTTGGAGAAGACCATGAAAGCACTGCTGCCAACTACAGGGAACTCGCTGTAACACAATGCAACATGCATGACTACAGCGCAGCTCTACAATCTCTCCAGCGTGAATTAGCTATCCGTCTTAAACTGTTTGGAGAGGACCATAAAAGCACTGCTAACAGCTACAGGCAACTCGCTGTAACACAATGCAACATGCAAGAATACAGCGCACCTCTGCAATCTCTCCAGCGTGAATTAGCTATCCATGTTAAACTGTTTGGAGAGGACCATGAAAGCACTGCTGACAGCTACAGGAACCTCGGTGTAACACAATACACCATGCATGACTACAGTGCAGCTCTGCAATCTCACCAGCGTGCATTAACTATCCGCCTTACACAATTTGGAGAGGACCATGAAAGCACAGCTGACAGCTACAAGGAACTCGCTGTAACACAATGCAGCATGCATGACTACAGCGGAGCTCTACAATCTCACCAGCGTGAATTAGCTATCCGTCTTAAACTATTTGGAGAGGACAATGAAAGCACTGCTGCCAACTACAGGGAACTCGCTGTAACACAATGCAACATGCAAGACTACAGCGCAGCTCTGCAATCTCTCGAGCGTGAATTAGCTATCCGTGTTCAATTGTTTGCAGAGGACCATGAAAGCACTGCCGACAGCTACAGGAACCTCGGTGTAACACAATACACCATGCATGACTACAGTGCAGCTCTGCAATCTCACCAGCGTGCATTAACTATCCGCCTTAAACTATTTGGAGAGGACCATGAAAGCACTGCTGACAGCTACAGGCAACTCGGTGTAACACAATACAACATGGATGACTACAGCGCAGCTCTACAATCTCACCAGCGTGAATTAGCTATCCGTCTTAAACTATTTGGAGAGGACCATGAAAGCACTGCTGCCAACTACAGGAAACTCGCTGTAACACAATGCAACATGCATGACCACAGCGCAGCTCTCCAATCTCACCGGCGTGAATTAGCTATCCGTCTTAAACTATTTGGAGAGGACCATGAAAGCACTGCTGACAGCTATAGAGAACTCACTGTAACACAATGCAACATGCATGACTACAGTGCAGCTCTACAATCTCACCAGCGTGAATTAGCTATCCGTCTTAAACTATTTGGAGAGGACCATGAAAGCACTGCTGCCAACTACAGGGAACTCGCTGTAACACAATGCAACATGCAAGACTACAGCGCAGCTCTGCAATCTCTCCACCGTGAATTAGCTATCCGTCTTAAACTATTTCGAGAGGACCATGAAAGCACTGCTGACAGCTACAGGAACCTCGGCGTAACACAATACACCATGCATGACTACAGTGCAGCTCTGCAATCTCACCAGCGTGCATTAACTATCCGCCTTAAACAATTTGGAGAGGACCACGAAAGCACTGCTGACAGCTACAGGGAACTTGCTGTAACACAATGCAACATGCATGACTACAGCGCAGCTCTACAATCTCACCAGCGTGAATTAGCTATCCGTCTTAAACTATTTGGAGACGACCATGAAAGCACTGCTGACAGCTACAGGGAACTCGGTGTAACACAAGAGAACATGGATGACTACAGCGCAGCTCTGCAATCTCACCAGCGTGCATTGGCTATCCGTCTTCAACTGTTTGGAGAGGACCATGAAAGCACTGCTAACAGCTACAGGCAACTCGCTGTAACACAATACAACATGAATGACTACAGAGCAGCTCTGCAATCTCTCCAGCGTGAATTAGCTATCCGTCTTAAACTGTTTGGAGAGGACCATGACAGTACTGCTGACAGCTACAGGAGCCTCGGTGTAACACAATACAACATGCATGACTACAGCGCAACTCTGCAATCTCTCCAGCGTGAATTAGCTATCCGTCTTAAACTGTTTGGAGAGGACCATGAAAGCACTGCTGACAGCTACAGGAACCTCGGTGTGACACAATACACCATGCATGACTACAGTGCAGCTCTGCAATCTCACCAGCGTGCATTAACTATCCGCCTTAAACTATTTGGAGAGGACCATGAAAGCACTGCTGACAGCTACAGACAACTCGGTGTAACACAAACCAAAGCCAAACTCGCACCTGCTGCAGTCACATCCAGCAAAGTTTGATTCGCATTTGTACGTTTTGTGGTAAACAGCATGAGGCCAGTCATGGCGATCGTCTTCTTGCTGGAAAGGTTGGTAATGACTGTACTTGAAGGTCCAATCACGAATGACCAATTCCTGGCATGCACCTCTGTTTGGCGCACTAAGGCCCTTTGGGATTGGGCAACATTTCCTGTTTTTAGACTCGTCAGGGATGTACAAACTCTAGGGAACTGGCCTTCAGCACAGGGAAAGGTGAAGACAAAAAAGACAAGACATGTGATGATACGGCAGCTCATCTTACTCTCGTTTTCCTAAATGAAGAAAAATAATTGTTCATTAACGATGCTCAAGCACATTCGTACCCAGTCGCTAATTATGTGTTTTTGCGGTGAGAGAAGATTGGGGGTTAGGTTGAGGCGCGCGGGCTTTCATCGGAAGGTACGAAGGGAAAATAGAGGATGGAAGAGAATGGAACTGAATCGAAATTTTTCAGACACAAATAACTCATCGTCCTTAACACTTTAACGTATAAATATTGCATCGGTAAGTCACGTGATATACCACGTGATAATTTTTCTGAAAATGTTAGATAATTGAAAAATAGACAAATTAATTTACTGTGGGGTTGACAGAGAAAATAATTAATAACATTAAAGCCTCACTTTTGGTATGATTGCCCACTACACTTCAATAAAAAGTTCTAAGGGCAAACATCACTTTAAATGGCCAACTTTAGTCTTAAATTACGCAAACGTAGAAAAGTAAATCATATTTATCCTCTATCAGGAACGCCCATTCATTCATTCAAGCAAAGTAAATTCGCCACCAGTTACCCAATTTTCTCTGACATCGTGCCACGTCCGATGACCATAATTAGAAGGCACAAGAAGGTATTTATATCTGGGGAGCTTTCGTCTCCTTCTAAGAAAAGTTCTATGGACTTTTTAGCTATAATGCACTCTTTTTCAAAGCTCAGTACACTGATCTATTTCCTCCAAATAATATTGTACAGAATAAGTACCAAGTTGTCATATTTTACGTTATCATCTGTGCATTCGGATTCGTGATAGTCTGTGATCGGTACAATGACGAAAATACGAGGATGTATTTATGTAAGATGACAAACCACCTTTGTTGGCGTGTCGGAAAGAAAAATATGTCAGTTGGCTCCTGATTCTCAGAAACTCACCTTCCGGTTTAAAAGAAGCTTACAACAGAAGTGAAACAAATTCTGGGAATCACTTATTATATTCTTATACCGTCTGCCTGCTGCTGTTTTTTAAACTGGCTTCTTTAGGAATTTGAACAACCACTAATTTTCAGAAACAGGTCCAAATCGAAACACTTGGGACCATTTACACATGATAAGCACGGTTTCAGACGGCTACGCTGTCAGAAGCTATTTTCTCATTACCATTGGGTTGGAGTGACGTGAGGTACAGTACAAGAACACACTACAAGTACAAGTACACGCTGCAGTAACATGCTCAAGATCGTTTAGTTGGTTCTGTCAGTAAAAACTCTTTACAATTTTCAGCACCCCTCGTTTTTGTCGACATATGTGCTCTCCACATCAAGCTAAACCAAGTGACATTCATTTAAAAAAAAAAACACTCAAGTTAAAAAGTACCGTTACAAGTCCCTTAATTAACTGCAGTCTCGCAGTGGTTAGTCCCTGAGTAGTACCAGTAGCTTTTATCCTCACCGTGATATTTCCACCTTTAACGAAAAACTTCAAACTTTGCTTTTAACTTTGTTCAGAAATTGTACAAGACATTTTTTTTCTGTCTTGATGAAAAACTGCCAATGAGAAACTGAAAGCAAGCACGTTCGGCAAATACACTTCCGCTGTTACCGACTAGCAATATGCCCGCGAGTCTTGCCAAAGCACAGCGAACAACGACCATCAAAAGAACGAATAGATCGAACCTTAGAAAAATAAGAATCGAAGGGAAAGCACTGTCAATGCACTCAGAAAACTGGGTACGTATTTTTTATTCATAACCGTCATAATCGTTCTTGCCGAGAACTGCTTTCTGTCTATGCAGATCATTGTCTTACAAACATTTGCACCAATTCAGGCTATACGTGATTCTTGTCATTGAAGTATAACCGGTATCGAATTTGCCAAAAAAGTCCTAACGTGTAAAGCTCTTTTTCCGTGATTTCCAATACTCTTGAAGGGCTTGAAGGGAAGCATTTCACCTTCATGATTCCAAGAGCCAAAAACATGCAACATACTTCTTTTTAAATAAAACTTGATCACTTTCGTTAAATCTAAAACCACGGCACGGCCACGGCATTCTTTTGAAAAACAATCAATATAAAATTTACCTTTGTCTCAAAATACTGCAATGTGCTTGGGTTGAAGCTTCTATGCTCCTCGATCTAGTTCTACCTCAAACAGAATGCCCCGATTTAACTCCAAGCGCTGAGATGTGAGAGAGTCAGCTTACTCACACCCTTCAAATTCCAAGAAATGCATAGCGACTGACAAAACGTGGTCGATGTGTTTAGCAGCTATGCGGTGCTGTTTACCATATCATTGTTCCGGGTGTCAGAATTATCACCCTATCACATTTTCTCAAAGGGTAACACCCATTACAAGTCAAGGCAGGTCAAGCGTACGTACGCCCCAAGATTCTATTAATGAATTGATTATTTGAAAAATGAATCCGTTAGTCGTTCCCGTAACTGGTGTTAAATTCAATTCGGCATTCTGCATGCGTAATAAGCAGTGAATATGTTACGGGAACCTCTCTGTATTTGTACAGATTGAAAATCTTTGAGTGGAGGAAATTTCAAAGACATTTACATCAAAATAATTCGGGGAAACTGAGCCGGTAGAAATTTCGTAACTGAATCGCGTATGAATTCACGGCTCATCACGCATACAAGAATGCATAGACGAATCTGAAGTCTACAACTGCCAACGGATTCAACGTCCAAATACAGAGTGGCTATATTGGGATTTTTTTAAAGGGATTAACCCATGATTTTGGTCAAAGTTTGGAAATTTCATCTCATTTTGTTTTTTGACAAAAGAGCCTTGAAATAATGTTTGATGATCAGTACAAAAACAATCAATCATTTCGGTCAAAAAAATTAGAAATTTCCTGTTTGTTTGTATTTGGACAATAGAGGCCTAGAAATAAAACTTTAAACTTTGAGCAAAGTTCTAACCACAGTGCCAACAAAATTCGACTTTTTTCATGGTTTTCAAATTTCAGATTTTGCAAAATTTTGAATGAGATTTTAGTGATCAGCCCTTTTTAAAATTTTAACAACGTTGTTTTTGACAAAGTGCTAAGTTCAACCATTTTTTGCTATTTTGTTTAGGTTGTTGATTTAAGGATGCCACTTTGAGTTGCAGATTTTCTTTTCAGCAACACTCTGATGAACTAAATTCATCGCTTTCTGTTGAAAACCTCCTTCTCAAACTTTGTGACTGCAACTGTAGAACACATAAGGTTCTTTGAACCAGAGATTGACTACTGGCTGAATGATAATATGAAAGTTCAATGCACATTAATGTAAGCTTGGAACTTATTGCATGAACTTATCTTTACGTAGGAAAAATTTAAAGGCTTGTTTCTCCTTTTTAAGCCAAACTTTCCCTTGTTTTCTTTCGTCCTTTCCAGATGTTTGTTGACACAATGATTGTGAGCGTTAATTAAAGGTTTCAATATTATTGAGTCATTGACAATGTGGTAGTTAAAACTTTTTGCAATGACTTTGCAATTGCAAAAATTGGCACATGAAAATGGTGTAAAAGTAAACTGTTTTTTTATTGAGCTATGGCAGAACTTAACTTATATCTATCTATAGCTGTGGCAAAACTGATCAAAAGCAATTACTAATAATACTATCTTATCCAGGAGTAAAATCAAAAATCTATTTGGCATGATTAATTATTTCGGCAAATTTTTTAAACTGAGTGGTTCTTTGCAAGTATAGGATTATAAAATTGACTTTTTTATGCACTTTCATCAAATAAGATGAGAGCTGTGATACTTTCAAAATCCAGTCAGAAATTCAATGTGAAATGTAACTTGCTCCAGTGATTCATTGGAACTCTTAAATTAAGTTTCAAGTGGTATAAACACTTAGAAGTGCTTTGGACAGTTTTCCTTCATTTTGTGTAGACAGTGATTTGGATTGCCTTTTGAGCTTCAAACACAGCTGTTTTCCCTGAAAAGGTTAGGGTCATGTGAATTTCTCCAACTACACTAAGCCACCAAATGCTCTGAAAATAAACATTGATTCAACTCACTTTTATCAGTTAACTTCAATTCTTTGAGTTTTTCCTGATTCTGTTCAAAACCTGAACTCTTCCGCAAAACAGCAACTAAAGTAATTTTGCCTCAACTACACATGTACATACAAGGAATCAGCTGTTGATAATTTTGCCCTGTACATTTTACTTACCAATTTCTGCAGTCGAAACATTGTATTAAGTAACCTCGTAGGATGAAAAGCCCTGCACTAAGAAATCTCCACATGCCTTGTATCATGTGAATGTTGTAGTGAACTACTCGGTGTGCGCAAACCAACCAACCTCTTAAAGATGCAATTTCTTAAACTCCTTTAAAGTGCAGTTAAATACATTTTTAATTTTGTGTCCTGGATAAGATTAATAATAATTGTCTTTTGAAAAAGCAAGCCACATTTGTTTGCCTGGTTCTCTCAAGATTACAAAGTAATCTATACGGTTCTTAACATAACCTTTAAAGCCTAAATGTTGAAGACTTGATCCTGTCTGTTTGTGCCACAATGCATCTGATCTGGATAAAAAAAAACATAAGCATATGCATAAGCATCTAAGTCAGGTTACAATCATAAACATTACAATAATAATAATTATCAGTTCATTTTTAATAATTAGAAATTATTTCTAACAACCATTACAGTCAAACCCCGTTAATCAATACAGACACTGAAGGGCCATTAGAAAAGGTCCTTATTAACAGGTGTCTATAATTAAG